GCTGGTGGGCTATGGCCCATGGGGCTGCAAAGGGTTGGACTCGACTGGACACAGGCAGAATTAGATCTTGGCTCTCACCTGCCACGTATCCACGATAGCTTCAAGAATGCAGATGAAGGTGACTCACCTGCAGTGGTCTCTATTTTTAGGGGTTGCTGATTCAGTTTAGGTTAAGGGACATTATGGGCGTCGTACAACCTGGTACAATGTACCAGGCACAATGTGCCTGGTGTATTAAATGATCTACAGCAGCCCCCACCAGTTCGTTTGTAGTGGTATCTGCTCAAGCAGCTTCTTCAGGAAACCACGGAGCCCACCTCAGTTCCCTCGCCCACCCAAAATATCACTATTAGCTTGGTTTTGGGTCCTGCTCTCCTAAATGTTAAGGCAATGGCACCCCACTCCAGTACCCTCGCCTGGAAAATCCCATGGATGGAGGAGCCTGGTGGGCTGCAGTCCATGGGGTCGCTAAGAGTCGGACACGACTGAGCGACTTCACTTTCACTTTTCACTTTCATGCATTGGAGAAGGAAATGGCAACCCACTCCAGTATTCTTGCCTGGAGAATCCCAGGGATGGCGGAGCCTGGTGGGCTGCTGTCCATGGGGTCGCACAGAGTCAAACATGACTGAAGCGACTTAGCAGCAGCAGCAGCAGCAGCTCCTAAATGTTTAATTTTAATTTTGGTCAGGGTAGTCCTGACCCAGTTTCTATTTTAAGGTTATCAACTGTTAATTTATCTGTCTTCATGAGTGACTGTCATCCGAGTAGATTATATAAGTTGACCATACTGCTCTCTGAAAATGGCTCATTTCACTGTCAGCTCTTATTGGGCCTTTAAATGCAGGGTGGTTTGGGGACAGAAGCACCCCTGGCCGCTGGCCTTGTGCACAGAGGCATATACAGTTGTCTCTGCCGTGATGCTCACCCTGTGCTCACCCTTCCGTCTAAGTGGGGTCGGAAATGAAACGCTTTGTCTGTGCTCCCATCGTGAGAGTGGGAGGGAGTGAGAGCCGGAAAGCCTACTGGTGCACCTTTATTATTATTGTTATTGCTGTTTGGTGATTATATTGTGGATGGAAGATTATGAAACTGCTGTTAATGAGGCAGAAGCAGTGTCCTTAGCGTCTGGGCTGACTGTGAAGGTGACACTGTTCTGCCCTGGGTCTCACGCTGTCACAGGTGTTTGGTCTCCTGGAAGCAGAAGCTTCAGGAGCTGCTGAGATCACTCACATTTCCTTGGCCTTCCTCATCTCCCCCCTTCTACATTTCCCAGGCTGCCTTTCTTCCCCTAAAATATGAACTGAAACACATAGAATTATGTTCCTCAAATAATTTTGCTCAGTATACTTTTACTCAAAGATTTTACTTTAAATATTTTTAACAATCTGCTCAAATAATTCCTCATGATGCAAAGAGGATGTCAAGCCCTAAGGCTGTCTGCATCCTCACCGGCCCCCCCCCCCCCCCCCCCCCCCCCCCCCCCCCCGTGCATCCTCTTTCCCCTGCATCAGCCATTGATTTCTGGGCCAGCATTGGGCACAGAAGGTGCAATACTGGTAGTCATCACATATGATTGCGATTACCTTTCAGCTTTTAATTTCTCCTGTTAGCTGACAGCTGAAAAGTAGTATTTCACTTTCTAAAGGTAGCAGTTCTCTGAGCAAACGAATCTGCCCCAGACTGAAAACCAGCTGCATATTACTGAGTATCGCAAACGTTTTTCATGTCTCAGATGACATCAGTAAACTGCCAGAGACACCTGAAACTGTGTGATGCTTTCTCTTAGGCTGTTTTCTGTTCCAGAGACAGACATTGTCACGTTAACCTGCTTTATCCTCTAGTGAGCGTTCTCAGCTTGTATAGAAGAGTTAGAGTTTTGAGAGACATTTTTGTTTTCTTTGGTTTAAACCAACAAAACAAGAACAGTCAGATCGTCACAGACCACAAAGAGATCCTGGCCCGGCCCGACGCCCACACGCTTCCCCCAGTCCAGAGAGAGTCTCATTGCAGAGTCCCCGGGAGCGTTCGCTCTGCTTCGTCTGCGCTGTGCAAATCCAGCAGCGCCGTTTCAGGAGGCAGAGGGGGCCTGTTGCCTAAAACAAGGACAGCGGGTGAAACTGGACGGAGGAGCTTCCCTGGCGACTCAGTGGGCAAGAATCCACCCCCCGGTGCAGGAGGCGGGGGTTCGATGCCCGATCCGGGAGGGTCCCACCTGCTGCTGAGCAGCTCTGCCCATGCGCTGCGGCCGCTGACCTGTGCTTGAGAGGCCACCGCGGTGAGACGCCCGCACCCCGCAGTGAGAGCAGCGCCCGCACAGCCCAACATAAATCAATCAATATTTTAAAAATCGGAGGGGAACGGTTTGGGCAGACGGTGTCACGTGAGTTTAAGACTGTGGCTCTCACCCCAGTGTCCAGGAGAGAAGGTCTGCAGCCCAGGCGGCTGGCTGCTTCTGCACACGGAGTGGGTGGAGCGGGAGCCGGTAAGCAGAGAGCCGTGGGAGTCCGCTGGGAGCGTGTGCGCGAACGCTCAGGACGAGGGCCCTCCCTCCCTTCCGGGAGCTGCATTCCTCCACTGCAGGGGTCGGCCCGCCGCTCCCCCTCTTGCTTGTCTGCCCGGAGTTGGTGAGGAGCCACGGCCAGTGGAAATACCTGAGGGCAGGCTCCTGTGGCTGGTCAGTGGTCGGCGGGGCAGAGACCACCACCTGCGCTTGCGGAGCCCCGGGGGCCACGGTGCAGTGTGAAGGGGCACTTCCTCCCTTCACTGATCGTGAGACAGGTCGCTATCGAAATGTGGGTGTGTAGGTGACCTCCTCACTCTAAAACGTTTTCCCTAGTCTCTGCAGTCAAAGATTTCGGTCATAAAGAGCACCTTAATTCATAAAGCCTCTTCTCGAATAATGTTGATACTTATTTTAGTTCGTCTTACTAATAGGAAAGCCCTTTCACCTACAATGCCTAACTATATAGTTACACACACTATGATAGCATACAAGCATCTGATAGGGGAGCGTGTTAAAGTAACTTGTTGTGAATTTTATGTGTACTGTTAAGGGTACCTGGTAACATCTTGATGGGAGATACATGAAAATTCGTTTTGGCTTTAAGGGAATACATGCTCTATCTCCTTTTAAGATATTCTATTTTTGTTGCTGTTTTTCCCTATAATAAAACCGTGTCACTGTGGATGGAAGACTTGCTGTGGAGTGGGGTGGGGGGTTGCCTGTGATCGTGGCCACGGCCGTCTGTCAGCCTTGGAATGGGTCAGAGCCCAGTTCAAACCCTGGTTCCTTCACCTGAGAGCTCTGGGCCCCTGGCAAGTTTCTTAACTCCACCACACCTCCTCTCCTCACCTGTGAAGTGGAGATAATGCCATCTACTTCATAGATTTTTATGAGAATCAAATGAGATGATGTATGTAAGTCCATCTATTTAAAGGATCCAGTTGACCCCTTGGTTCACAGTGGAATGGGCTCAATGCATAGGGTAAAAATAAAATGCTTTGACTTGAGTGTAGAAAACACTTATTTTATTCCCAGTAAGTGCAGGACATTCTGAGATGCCTGTGGAAAGGCAGAGGTTACAATTCACTGCCTGGGATTAATAACCGTGTGGTAAAGTGAATAGAAACCTTTAATTCAAAGAAACAGTTGATTACCTGTGATAAAGTAGAGGTCACCAGGATTTGTTACTTAATGCATCTGTGGATTGGTTTTCATTGGCTGTGGCTTGTTTTAATCTTTGGAATATGTATTATTAGAAAAGGAATGCTATTTTAAAGTGATGCTTAACCTCATCAAAGCTGCCTGTAATGTTCTTATTGTGTGACTGCAATAAACATTTTATGGGATCAAATTTGTACTTTAGTCCTTTCAGGAGAGAACCAAGAAAGAATTTTCAAGTGAGTTTCTGATTTTCCTTAGAAGCTGAGACCTTAATTTGCTTGATTTAGAAGCTAAAAGAATAAAAAGTCTGTTTTGAAAATGTCTTAATTCTGTTGTCAGTATAAAAGATTGGTTCACTTTTAACTACAGTATATTTTGAGACTTTTCTTTAACTGACTTTAATAAAAATTATACATTTTAGAAGATGGTAGATACTTGTTGCATGAATGTCCAAATAGTATCAAACACATTCTAACTTTGGAATGATATTAAGTCCTCCGTCTATACTTACTGTAAGTTTTTTTGTGTTTTAAAAACCTGCCATGTTTAGTGCTTATATCTAAAGGGATGAACAACATGTAACCTGTTTCAGTTTTTCCTTGTTAGTTAATGGTGTAGAGGCCTTCCCAAGGAGGATTTTGGTCTCCGTTTTAGTTTGTATGTGATTAGATTTTAAGGTCTGGAAGTCCCAATTTAATATCTGAATTTATGTATCCGAACGTGATCTGTTGGTTTTAATCATAAATCGTATAATGGTCAGTTCATCCATTTAAAGACCAGATCATGTGCAAAAAAGAAGAGCTGACTGCTGTGGCCATTCTTTTGTATTCGTGTATTTCACGTCGGAAATACTGATAACTGAAGTGGCCAAAACAGAAAACTGGGTTAGCCACTAATTAATTTTTATTATTTTGAAGAAAGTTACTGAGTTCTGGGAACTCTGACTGCTGTCAAGATAGATGCCCATAAATTTGCACTTTAATTACTCATTAGATTTGTTAACTTACTTTATAAGAATACCTCTTCTTTGCACTAAAAAAAAAATATGTGAAAGTAACAAAATTGGAACTCTACCAGGAGCTAACCTTCCCTTTACACCACACTTTGGGGATGAGCCTGACTTTATCAAGCATATTATTTGTGTTTAACGGGGTAAGGCATTTTATCTTGACCATTTAACTTTTTTAAGTTTGCCTTTGCTTTGGGCTTATAATTAATGATTGCAGTGTTTGCAATGACCGATGTATACTTACTTTGAGGTCTAACCAAGCTTCTCTGCATATTAGAAAGTACTTCGTAGGACCAATCGTGTCTCCCCCTCTGGTTTGTTTAGAAGACTTGCACTGTCTGCCAGATGCTGCTCCCCAACCAGTGCAGTTACGCCTCCCACCAGCGGATCCATCAGCACAAGTCTCCCTACACCTGCCCCGAGTGCGGCGCCATCTGCAGGTCCGTGCACTTCCAGACCCACGTCACCAAGAACTGCCTGCACTACACGCGCAGAGTGGGTTTCCGGTCAGTATGTCCTTCATTTCCGGGCGCGTGAAGCCTGTGCAGGGTTCTGAGCGGTCCGTGCTCAGCATTTTCATTTTCTTACAGGTGATACCTTGATCAGCAGATCCTCTGGGAACCTTGCTCATTCGTACGGGGGGTGTCTCTGTTTGAATCCTTTCATGTGGGGTTGACGCTGGTCCACGCCAAGCCCAGGGTAAAGGGGGCCCCTCCTGCCAGGCAAAAGTGGGCATGTGGCAAAGCTTGGCTTTGATCGACTGTCGGGAGCCTCTGTCCTTTCTGCCCCCTTTTTAGCAGACTTTCGTTGTCATGCTGCCTACATTTTAACCCCTGTAAGAATACGGTGCATTTCTGCACCTCTGAGTACTTTTCTCATCAAAACAGAAAGGGTGAGGTGGTCCCTCACTTTTCTCTTGTGTTGAAGGCCGGGTCGTATCAACACATCCTTTCTTACAGTCGCTCCCTGTGGAGGAGCCCCCCACCCAGGTCGTCTTCTTGATTCCTCCTTCTCTGTCCTTGGACGCAGGCTCCTCCCGAGTCTCTGCTCGTCTTCACTGTGACCCTGTCCCTGCCCCCTTAGATCTTCAGATGTGTCTTTTACAACATCCAACAAATCCAAACGTTAGCCTAATAATGCGTGGTGATGCATTTGAACTTGATCCTCCGCTTTGTGACCTTCTGCATTCTGATTAAGTGGAGGTCCACCAAGAAAGCATGTCACTGATACACGGTGTCTTTGTTAATAGAGGTGTTACTGTACTGTGGGCTTATTTTGAGAGTTTGGTTACCAGGTACTGTTAATGTTAGACTGTTAATACACAATTTTTTTTTTTAAGTTGTAACACAGTTCTGATGTTTTATCAAAATGAAGGTTAGTTGGTGTTGATTTAACAGTTTTATTTCAGTTAAATTTAGTTCATGGTGTCATCAGTTTCTTGGTGGTTCTGTCCATTTCTCTAACAATGAGACTTACTTCACATTTTTATCTCATCCCTCCAAACCTGTGATGTGCAGGTGTTTCATAGATTGAGACACACCTAATAGACAGCCTTTGGTTTGGAAATTTTAAACAACAGAGGTTTTTTTTGTGCCAGTTCTGCTGTTCATTGTGTGGTAATGCATGGGTTCTCTGTGCCTTGGTGCCCTGTCTGTTAAAGTGGTGTGATGTTTATTTACCTCCTTCCCCGCAGGTATGTTACAGAGTAAGATTAGAGGGTGATCCAGAAGCATGCGCAGTGCTTAAGAGGGACGCTTCACATTGATGCTGCAGAATTCACACACAAGGACACTTTCGTTCTTATCCCGTATTTGGAAACTTTTATTACTGGATTCTTTGTTTAATATAGAAGGCAGTTCTGCACCCTTTATGAGTGCAGCTCCTTCAATGGATGCCAATTTCCTCAGACATTTAGAGTTGATTTTTCTGATATAATGAAAGTAAACTTAAATTGGAATGAATAAAAGAAGTGAGACTCCCATAATTCTAGCTATTCCTGGTATCTTTCCTAAATTAAAACAAAAGCTCTGTCGGCAGGCTCACAGTAATTAACACAGTTGGAAAAGCCCATCCCTTACTTTTTTTTCCCCCCTTGTTCACGGCATTGCCTAAATTTGGCACTTTGAATTTTTACTAAAATTTCTATTTAGCATAGTTTTTTTTCCTTGCACTTGAGGGTTACAAGAGCTATAAAAACACTATGTGTGTCTGTTCTGAAATTTTGTTCATGTTTATACCTCTTTAGGTAATGGAACAAAATCTGACCTTAGTTGTTTTCCTGTCGTTTCAAGTAATGGCTCACCTTAGTTGTTTTTCTGTTGTTTCAAGTAACAGCTCGGCCTACTATTTGGCTGGGATTTAGCAGCCCCCTTGACCTTGTACGTTTTCTTCTTCTCCTTTCCTTTTTGGCTTTTTAGTTTCCCCATTTTTTTTTTTTTTTTAATTATTTTCAGCCAGAGGAGTGTCTCCAGCGCAGCTCCGGCCTGAGTGTGTCTCTTCCACGTGCTCTCTCCCTGATCATACCGCCGTCTCCCAGTTATCACAGGGTCACCTCTAGCTTCTGGTCGATTCGGTAAAAGTCAAGTATAGTATTTCTCTGAACTTTCCCTCTTCTCGATCCACCGAATCTGCATCTGGAAGAGGGAATTATAGGATTGTATACTGTAAGCATTTTATTATGTTTTTAATTTTAAAAATGAGGAGAAACTTGATTGGCATCTAGAACACAAAGGGCTTCAGCTACGTTAAACATTTATTAGTAGGCTAGATTTTTAGTAGCGTTAGGGTGCTGTAGGAACCTTTCCAATTCTCCTTCTATTTTTCAACCTTATTTACATTCCTCATTGGCCCCTGTTGTCCATGAATCTTTTTTTCCACTTGCAGACAGATATTTTACAACTTTCTCTGAAGTTCTTTTAAATTTTTTTGCTTTCTTTCCTCATATTAAGGAGGGCTTTCCCTTGGTTTCCATGAAGCCCTTTGGACCAGGCTTTAGCCACTTCCTTCATCAGCTGTCAATTCTCTAGCCTCTTGTTGGCTTTCTTAGGGGATGAATCTTCCTCTCACTCCAGGAGACTTCAGAGAATTAGCCCTTCCTTGGTGTTTTGCCCTTCGCCTATCACCTTTGTACTCTTGCTAGGAAAAAAAATTTTGTTTATGATTCCTGATGTAGCATGTGCTTCTGTTTAATAGTTAGCAACCGATCTGTTTTTGTTTTAGGTGATCTTCTTTCATAGGAATTACGAGCTTCTAGGTTTGGGAAACACTAAATTATCTAGTCCAGCTCTTCTCATTCAACAAGAGAGAAACCAGCCCAGAGAGGATCGGTAACCTGTTCCAGACAGGCCAAGTTCATGTTCGCTCAAGATCGCTTCAGTGTGGCTGGGTGGCTTTTTTGCCTGAAATTGCAGTTCAGGTGGATAAGACCGAGGGGCTTTCCTTATTCTCCTAGTGTTACTTAATGCTGTATATATATGTGTGTGTAACATATACGTATTTGTTTATTATATATACTGCTGAACAGGATGCTTCCAGTTACTTGAAATGCTATGGCATTAATTAGGATTTTTATGAAACGCTCACATAGCTTACCTAACAAGGCACACTCGATAGAACACGCGTAATTCAGAGCGTGCCGCTCGGAGTGACTTGGATAGCCGCTCCCTGAACGCGGAGGGAACGTCTCGGACAGAAGCACCTTAGGTTCCGCCCCGTCTGCAGCCCTCCTTCTCCAGGTCAGCCTCTCACCTTCACGCCCAGGACACGGCTGCCAGGGGTACGAGAGGCCTGTCCTTGCAGACCCTTGTGGGTCAGCAAGGAGACCACCCTCGAATAATCTTCAGGGGTGAGCCGACAAGGACGCCTGAGTGATAAATGGGTGGACTCTGAGTGGTCCTGGGAGTCCCTCCATGAGAAGGATGCAGCTGGGAAAGTGTCTCTGTTCTTCTTGTGAAGTTTGTTTCTGGAGGACTAGATTTGAGTGAGGAGTGGGCTAACCATCAAATTATCATTCAAGAAGAGGTGAGCTCGAGAGGCCATTTATAGGGGGAGGCTTGTCTTTTCGCAGTTTATCATTCACGTCATTTCTTAAACAAATGTCGTGTGCTTAAATGGAATTTCCAGGAGACAAATGCACTAGGCGATCGGCCTTCTCTACAGTATCCCCCAGGTACGTTCACCACCTCGGGGTGGACAGGACGCTGGTTGTGGCTTCGAGCTGGTACTCATTTGTCCCTCTGGGTCCCTCTGTCGCTGGCATGTAGTATCAGGTGGCGAAGAATTCTTCCAGCGGATCTTGGGGATGGGTGAGAACCTCAGAATCTAGCACGTGGTCATCCACTCAAAGTCGGAAGTCGTAGGGTCTTGCCATGTTCCTGGCCTTGACATGGCCTCACGCTCCATTGGTCCCACCGCAGTTCTGGAGTCTGGATGTTTGTGCCTAGAAACTTTATAAAAGATGCTCAAAAAAATAGTCCCTCGGAGTTTCATTTTTCTTTTTCCTGATCTTCCTTCTCAAATATATGAAGATAAATTGATCTCTTGTACATGGAAGAAACCCCACATGTTTTAAAAAAATACAAAAAACCTAGAAGGGCTATTTCCAATATGTCCATGTGACCCAGTTTTGCAGTTAAGTCACACAGGTCTGACGGTCTCGTGCTAACGCCCGTGTGTTTGTTTCTAACAGGTGTGTGCACTGCAATGTTGTGTACTCTGACGTGGCCGCACTGAAGTCTCACATTCAAGGCTCTCACTGTGAAGTCTTCTACAAGTGTCCTATCTGCCCAATGGCGTTCAAGTCTGCCCCAAGTACACACTCCCATGCCTACACGCAGCATCCTGGCATCAAGATAGGAGAACCAAAGTAAGTCACGCTGACTCTCGACGTTTACTCCCCTCCTTTCTCAGGAATTTAGCGGAGGTGGGAGTTCGGCGAGGTAACACTTTTAAGACATGAAAGATGACGCCGCTGTGCAAGTTTGATGCTCTGTCAAGGACAGCTTATAACTCCCTACAGCTTTCAGCGCTGTCCAGGGTGAGGTCTCTGGCCAAAAATGTCGCTGACTGTTTATGCTCTTGTTACCAGTTTTTGCTAAACATGTGAACATTGACCGATTTTGTTCTTTTAAGATGATTTTTCCTAGGTTCTCAGAAGCCTTAAAAAAACTGTCAGCTTTTCAGTTTTCATAGTTTCTTTTTTCATCTGATACACTTTTCACAGTATCCTTTTTTTAGAAGATGAAGTCGACTGAAGACCCTGGTTCCTGAACTTAATTTCATGGCCAATATAAGTCTTGGATTAGTAAAAGTAAATTTCATCTTTGCCTTAATTTCCATCTTCCTTGTGTCAGGGTTTACCTCGTGGAGTCTTTAATCCTGCAGTGGATTAGTTGTGGCTGGTGGCCTGCCGTGGCGGCAGCCTGGCAGAGAGGACGCAGTGGGGGCCCTGGGGTCAGAATCCTGCCGCCCCCTGCCAGCGGGGTGACCTTGACCGCACCCCGACCCCGGCAAAGTGAGGGTCACACATCCGTCCCAGGGTTGCCGGAGATGAAGCGGAGTGATGCGTTTAGAATGCCTGCACGAGGCCCCTCTGCCCAGCGCGTGGGGGGCCCCCCGCCTCCGCTCCCCTGCCGCCTTGCTTACCCGGCCCCGGGTCCGATGGCCAGGCTGACGGCAGTGTCTTCCTGTGTGGTTCGTGGCCATGCATAATTCGATAATTATGTGTGGCTAGAGCTGCTGCCTCAAACCTATTGCTGTGTTTTTGTTTGAACCTATAATCAGGGGAGTATTGGGGGAGATGTGCGTACATGCCATATTGTATATGTTTGGTTTTTCACATGGCATTTAGTTTGGGGGAAGTGTTTGTGGCTCAACATGATAGAAATGACACTGTTCACTAAAAAACTATGAGAAAACGGAGCTTTATTCTAGTCGGACCTTCAGCTGTAATCTTTGTAGGTCTTCAGAATGAACACGTTACGAATTAGGGGATCCACACACAACTTGGTGTCTTGGCTGCGAAGACAGACATTAGTGATTTTTAGTTAAACAGCCTTCAGTCACGGTCACGGTTACGGTCGTGAGGCTTTTGGGCACTAGCATAGTCTCCCTCCATCCCCCACTCCATAAATACAGTTTCTGACTTGGTTTTTTAATTCAAACAAATAAAACTTTATTCACTGGAATGGGTGTGAAGCCTGGGAACAGTCACTGTTACCTGGGAATACAGCACAGCACATGATTAAAATAAGCTAAAATAATACTCCTCAAATTTGCGTAATGTGTAGGGGAAAAGTTATTCCAATATTTTCTTAGAAAAAAATTTTTCTAAGTCTTTAACAAGTGCAAGTCCAAATATAGGCTTTAACAACTGAGTTTTTTTTTTTTAACAACTGAGTTTTAAACTATAGAACAAGTTCACAAGTGAAGAACGGCAGAACTTGCAGACCAGCGGGTCGGTTAGCAGCAGTGCCTCGGGTGGTGAGCCTGGCCCGCACCCTGGGCTCCGGGGCCTGTGGTCCGTCACCCGCCCCCCAAGGCCGAGAGCCCCCCTTCACTACGCAGACTCCTGTCAAGCCTGCCTCCGTGTGCCCTGCCGGAAGCTGGTTGGCCCGCGTTTGACCAGGAAGCTTTCTTTCAACATTAGATCCCTGTTCTGTTCAATTTGTTGTCAGTCACTCAGTCGTGTCCGACTCTGTGTGACCCCGTGGACTGCAGTCCGCCAGGCTCTTCTGTCCATGGGATTCTCCAGGCAAGAGTACTGGCGTGGGTAGCCATTTCCTCCTCTAGAGGATCTTCCCGACCCAGGGGTCAAACCCGGGTCTCCTGCACTGCAGGTAGATTCTTTACCACTGAGTCACTGTTTTAAGTTAGCCCCACATTAAGTGAGTAGAACCTCATGTGTGAAACCTCCCAGTGGTATTTGGCTAACAGATGGTTTTATGCAAATATCCAACATTATGCAAATAGCTTATGTTAATTTTTGAAGATCAATATAAAAATCCCCACCCCACGTTTTCTTTAGAGACTATGTGCAAGTCTGAGAATGAACCTGTGAAGACCTGCACCTCAGCTTGAAAAGTGCGGCATAGGATTTTTATTTAAAGTGTTTGAGTAGTGCCCGTTACGTGCAGGTAGCATCCCAGTGCTTCGTTTCTTGTTTACCCGTGTGTGGTCAGGCACTTTTCCCTGCCATGTCAAAGGGAACTTTGAACACCCTTTCATCTTTTCTGGATAATCTTGAGATCATTGTGAATGTCTGCTGCTAAAGTTTTATGGTGATACATTCAGTGACTTTTTTTTGATATCTTCCTCCATGGCCGAATAACCAGCAGTTTTTGGGCCGCAGAGTCCTTCTCTTTGCTGCTTCTAACTGCATGCAAGTCGAGAAACAAGGACTTCAGAGTGAAGAGCTAGGTGAGAGACAGGGCTTGGAAACAGGTTGCCAGGACATAAAGCCACGCACACTGTCATCACGGCATGGGGGAGGGCTTTGATTCAGATGAAGACAGATCTGGAGCGCTGGCCTGCGGTTTACGAGGCAGCACGCAGATTCCCTGGCCTCTGAGCCATATGTGAGGGCCGTGGTGCAGCCCCTCGGGGACACATATCGTGCTTTGTACCTGGCTGGACCCCTCGTGGCCGTGGAGGCTCTTGGCCGCGGTTTTGAGCTTGGAACCCTTTTAGTATTCCCATGCTTTTACATTCAGGTGTTGCGCTCTGTGCTGACCTGAGGGTGGTGTTTAGACTTACTCTTTCTTTCTTTCCCTCCTCCTACTTTCCTCTCTGCTCCCGCTGTTCTAGTCCAGTTCTCCTGCTGTTTACTCAGGCTCACGTTTGGGGCCAAGTCACACTTGCAGGTTCCGCTTTCAGAGTCCCTCCCCTGCCAGCCGCGTGCCCCAGGGCCGTGCCCATGTAGGCGCCGCGTCTGTGCGGACCGCTCTCCGGCCCTGAGTGCCCTCCCTGCTCCCTGCCCGCAGGTCTCCCCGTGGTTCCTCCCCGTCTGTCCTTGGCCAGTCGTCTGTGTTCACGGTCCAGCTGTGTGTCTGTGAGGCTCGTGGCACCCTTATTTGGGCTTTTCTGATATTAGCACCTGTTCATTAATTTTGTGATCATCTCTCTCCTACAGAAAAATTGGAAGAGCACTGTGGAGAACGCATGTGTCCCCTCACCCACGTCCCTAGCTGTTAGCATGCCCGACACTTGGTTCATTCTTTCATCTTTTCTCTCTGTATCTCTCCCTCTCTTCCTCCCACTTAGGAACGGTGGGGCCTCATGGCATAAATGTTTGGGTGTGTTCTGCTGCTTCTCCCAAGAAGGACACTCGTGTACTTTACCACCATCTAGTCTCCCAGCATGGGTTTACATTTTACCATCCAGTTCATAGATCCATGAAAATTTCTCCAACTGTGAGATGATATCTTTTTTCCCGTTTCTTTCTTCCTGGTACAGAACCTCGTCCAGGAGCTCACTCTGCACTCAGTTGTCTGGCGCACCTCCATCTGGAGCAGTTGCTCAGGCCTTTCTGCTCACATCCTGCAGGGGATTTCAGCCTCCTGTTCTTTCTTTTCTTCTACCTTTTGGCCACGCAGTGTGGCATGTGGGGTCTTAGTTCCCTGACCAGGGATTGAACCCAAGCCCCCTGCATTGGAAGCATGGAGTCTGAACCCCTGGACGGCCAGGGAAGCCCCGGCCCCGTGTCCCGAAGATGACCGTCCTTCCCGCTCCGTCCCGCGCTCTCATGGACTTGGGGTGCGTCCTCTGGCAGGACTCTTCTCTTCACACCTTCGGGGCTGCTCCCTGCACGCCCGTCCCTCTGGGGATGCTCGCCTCCATCCTCTGGTCTACCTGGCGGTGCCCACATGCCTGCCTGTGAGGTCACTGTTGCCCCTCGATATTTGTTAGTGGCTTATGAGGTGCATTCCAGCAACCTGTTCCTCAGAAGAATAGATTATGTCCGAGGTGAATAGATTATGTCCTGTTTTCTACTTTCTTTGCAGTTCAGTGAAGGCAACAAAGCAAAACAAAACTGGGAAGGCATGTAGCACAGATAGAAGCAAGCCATGCCATTTTTCATGAAGCAGTTATTGCTGAAAATGTAGCAAGAGTCCTGAGAAAATTTTTTAGCCTAGCTAGTAAATCTTAGTTCTTTTCTTGAGACTGTTCTTTTTTTCATTTTGCTAGGTGCTAATTTAAGAAAGATCAGGAAGTATAAGCAGGCAAAACAGTTATAAGAATAGGTTAAATAAATAAATAGGGGTATTAGCATCCAGCTGATATGATGACAGTTACATGCTGATTCTTTTCTGTGCCCCCTTTTAAAGATGTGAGACTGTCCTCCATGCTGTCGTCTTACCTGTTTTCTTTAAAATTTGCATGAAGATCATTCCATGTCATTGGTATATGTCTGCATCATAATTTTTATTTTTTTAAAAAATTCATACATTATTGCTCTTGTTTATCTGCTTATACTGGATGTTGGGGTTCTTTCCAGCTGTCCGCTATTTCAGACAGTGGGGAAATGCTCATAACTGACAGATATTTATGTATCACTTTTGCGCTGATGATGAAGTCCTGTAAACCACGTCTGATATTAAAAAAGTACCCCCTTCTCCAAGTCAGGGATGCTCGTGCTCTGCCAGGGTAGCTGACATGTCAGGATCTTCTAAAATCACGTGCCACTCACACCTATTACATTTATAAATCTCACGTGGAAAAAGAGGGAAAAAAATCTGTAGTTTTTGGGCAGAGAAATACAAAGTGTGGTCCAAAGGTGCATGAGAAGCGCTCTCTCGCAAAGACCCTGTGAGGACAGACAGGTGGTTTCCAGGGGAAGGGCATCCCTTCTGTTATCTGTCCTGCAGAAATAGCAAGGAAACCTCACATATTCCTTTCTCGTCAGATTCATGGCTCGGGCCAGGGTTTCTTTGCCGTTTCCTCCGCTGCCCTTTGGAGTTCTCTGTGCAAGTGCTCCTGGCTCTTCAGGGGAGACACCGGCGTCCCCAGGGCCTCATCTCAGGGCCAGGACAGCCGTGTTGGAAAATGGGGACCCCCTGAGTGTCCCAGCGAACTCCCGGAGCTGAAGGCTGGAAGTGAGGCGTCTGGGTCCTTGCATTCTCCCAGACCCCGCCCTCCCACCCGCTCAGAGGCCAGCGGAAAGTATGGATGGACGAAGGGACTGTCCAGAAGGTTCAGAGCCACTGAATTCACATAAGGAGGCTCCTTAGTAGTCACATACTAGGTAGGGAAATGGTTTGTAGCAGACAGTGATTATTTTAAACCATGTAGAGACAGTAGGTATTCAAGTATTGAAGCAACATTTGATTTGTGGGTTTTCTTTTATGGGTCTATATTTTCATGTATAATTGTTTCCTGGTGCAGGGCTTTCAGTGGTAAGGAAAGGCACAGAAATAGTGAGATTCAAATGTAAAACTGCTGCAGACTCTGAAGAAAACCTGCAACAAGTCACAGCGTGTTCAGGCATCCTGAGATGTGCAGGCCTGCTTCATTCATCAGTTTCTCTTTCAGGCTAGGGTACCACCATCTCCTCGTCTGATCTTTAAAACTGTTTCAAAAAAAAGCAGAAGGATGCTTTTGCGCTTGTTAAAGTAGTTCATGAGTGAAGGTGTGCTGGAGTGTCTCTGACCCAAAATGTTAAGGTTGAGCGGCACTGGGTGATGCCAGTTGCTCTGGAAACTTGTCTCAAAGCTCAGCCGTCCTGTCCTCCTCACTGTGTGTGTGTGCGTGTGGCCGCCTCCTGAGTTCTTGGATGTGAGGTGGCAGCTCCTTTGGCCTGAGAGATGAGGGCTGACTGACGTTCCCCTGCACCTCCTTCTTCTGTTTCAGAATAATATATAAGTGTTCCATGTGCGACACCGTATTTACCCTGCAAACCCTGCTTTATCGCCACTTTGACCAACACATCGAAAACCAGAAGGTGTCCGTCTTCAAGTGTCCAGACTGTTCTCTCTTATATGCACAGAAGCAGCTCATGATGGACCACATCAAGGTGTGTGTGCCTGTCCTCTGTCCGTCCGTCCATCGGTCGTAAGTCAAGGCTGAGCCGCAGATGACGGTAAAGCCCGCATGATGCTGTTAAGGGAAGGGATGGACGCTGCTCGTTGGTAGTGAGCTGTTTACAGCGTGCTGTCACCAGCGAGTTCTCTTGACTGAGAGATGCTTTTTGTTCCCGAGTCCTGGTCTGCATACCACAAAAAATCAAAGCCAAGTAACAAATTCATGTCCCGACTGTATAAAAATAATACAGTTTTAGGTGTTTTTCCCCCCCCCCTCTTCTATGTGAAAATTATGGCTGTGAAGTTTACTTTTTTGAGAACTTGGTGTCAGGTGGGATTTAGAAATAGACAGGGACTCTGATGAGTTATGTTAATTCATATAAATATTGATGTGTTTGGAAAAATAAAGATTTTTCCCTTGAAGTTACTTAAGCAGTTCTGTTTGCATTATAATTAATGCCCGTGAATCTCATAGTCTTTTTTTTTTTTTCAATCAAGTTTCCATGTAAACTGACAGTGAAATGTCCAGGATACGGCACAGTATTTGGTGCCTGATGGGTGCTCAGTCAATGAAGTGAATAAGTGTCCAGTTTGGACGACCCACTCTCCCAACTCCCAAAGGGGCACCCGAATCTCTCTTAGCCTTTTAAGCTCACTAAGGACAGAGCTTAGTGCCAGCCTCTTAGCTGTTCACTGTGGGAAGGTTAAGCAATTTTATTCCTGTGTCATTAGGAGATAATATCCATCAGCTCTCAGAGATTAAAGTGACATCCTTTTTAAAAAGAGAAACAACAGACTCAATATTACCATGAAGTCAGTCTCTTAGTTTTTCTCTTAAATGTATTGTACAGAAAAGGTCAGCTGAAAGAGCAAATCAAGTCTCTTAAATTGTTCTAACCTCGGGTTAGTTAAATGAAGGCACCATTAATCCTTGAAAGTTCCTGTGTTGAATGGATGTGAGCTCATGGAGCGTAACTGCCTATTAAAATGGACTTAAAACCTCCGAGAGGCCACTCGCTAGAAGCCAGGTGCAGGGAGTGATGGCGTGGTATTACCAGGGAGGATAAAATACGCGGGAGAAGTGTTTCGTCATTCCCACTTTAAGTACAGTAAAATCCTCGTAAGAGGTTTTAAAGGTTTTTCCTAAAATTACAAAATCACCTTGACAATAAATATTTAACGAATGATCGGGAAAAACTACAGACTGCTTAAATAAAAACACAGGGACTTGGGAATTAGACTGAAATATTTTAAATGTTTGATAGGAGGGGTGGGTGGGGTGCAAAGAAAAGAAAGAAAAGGTGCTTCTTAAGAGGCTTTTACCTGCTTCCTGGAGCTCATCTTTATGTCTGCAAGCGGCATGGTTAGGGGTCTTCCTGTGTTAATAGCATATCTGGAGGAATGCAGGGCTCCAGGCGACAAGGGGCTTAAGAAGAGGGGTTAAACCTTGCCCACCAGGAGGAAAGAATGGTTTCTCGGCGTTTCACCCTTTACGAGACTCCGTGATACAAAAGCAGTGGGATGCTCACTTATGTTCTTAAATCAAGTATGTTCTGTGCATTCTAAAGTACTGTCCTGCCTTTATGTGTTTAGGGATGGGTCACAACAAAGTTTTAGGGGCACCCTGTTTTTATGTTTATATACCTAAGCTTGTGAATTTATTTGCATTGTCTGATGTCTGTGCTGGTCAGTGTTTCATGTGGAAGGAATTAAGAGAAAAACAGTGTTTTTCTACAGACACATTTATTTAGAGGTGGATTTCCACTGGCCCAGTTTAATTCAATTTGTATCATTTCTTTGTTCCGCCACAGTGGATTTATTCACTCTGTGGGACCCCTGTGCGCCATGCGGGCGTCTGCCTTCAAAGTAAACTTTCAAATTACAGGCATTTAGGATATTTATTGTTACAGGAGCCAAGGAATCATCATTTCCAGGAGAATTAAGTTGTATTTCCTTTATTAAAAAAAAGACATTTGTCTTTAATAAATAATCTTATATGTTACTTAAAATGTGAAAATGAGCAAATCAGAAATTCTCATTTCTGCACACGTTCCGTTGCTCTGTGGTCACAGCAGAACCCTTTGCCACTTTTTTGGTGTTTCTATTAGCAAAATGAGGCTCCTTTAGAATACTCTGTTACTGTACTCTCTCTTCTGCTTTTTAGTTAGTGGAAATGTATTTGCCTAGAAAGTTACAAAAGGTTTATCAGAAGATTTAGGGGGTTGCTTTCTTTGTGTTTTAAATGGTTGAAAATAGAAACACTCCGCTTCTGTTTTGCAGAGGGCCGTTTAAACACATGGGCCTCTGCGCGGCATGGTGGCAGAGAGGCCAGTGCATGGATTTGGTATAAAGAGATGATGTCACTCCCTGGATTTTCTCTCTGCAAACGCACATGAGTCATCCAGCCCAGGCCCTTTTTACAGCCCAGTTTAACAATCATCTGGGGATCCCTGTGTATATAATTAGGAGGACCCCCCCCCTTTTCCCTCTGGGGTGAGACAGTTTTGAAGAAGGGGCTGACTATGACTCAGCTTAGAGAAGAGCCTCCCTTGAGCAGTATACGCAAGTCCGCCAGAGGACTCAGGGCCTCTCACCTGCCCGCCGAGGACTGGGGCGCTGCGGCCTGTGGGGTCCGAATCTCTGGGACCCAGGGCACTGGCCGGGCTCGTCCTGGTGTCCTGAAGATTCGAGAGCTCAGAGGCTACTGATGAGAAGCCCCATCCAAAAATAAACTGTACACTGAGGCACAGGCTCGTTTGCTGCCTTTATTTTTGTGGACTCTGGGCTTCGAGAACACAAAACGAAAACCTAATGAGCAAGCTGATCTTCAGGATCACCTTGCACTGGTTTCACCCCCGAGGATTTTGAAACCCTGAGAGTTTACGTTGAGGCTGTTGAGGCTCCTGTGTCAATGACCACAGATGAGCGGTTTGGACAGGCTTTTTGAGCAGCTGCTTTGGATCGTTCATAAGTCTGGGTGCTGGGCCCTGTCGGTAAGAAGGGATGGATTGGGATGAGAGCGAGATTAAAAGTACCAAAACTCTCCCCAGCAGAAACCCAGACTGTTAAGAAGTGTTTCAAGAACGTGGGAGGTGTTCAGGGGAGAGGGAAGGTTTTCTGTTAACAGGCGGGGCTCAGGCCTCTGTTCTGGTCGGCCAGCGGAAGAGGGGCTTGCGCTCCTCCCGGGACAGCCGCCTGAAATGTGTCCGGGCAGGTGTGGAAGGAAAACGCTCTTCCTCAGAAGTGGTCTTGAGTAGAGAGGACTCACTCTGGCACGCTGGGGTCGACACCAGCCTGTGTGTAAGATGGCCTGTGTGTGCTGTCTTTTAGTGGTGTGGCTTGTGAAAGATCTTTCTTCTCTTTTTATAACCTAGTCTATGCATGGAACGTTGAAAAGCATCGAAGGGCCTCCCAACTTGGGTATAAACTTGCCTTTGAGCATTAAGCCTACGACCCAAAATTCCACTAACCAAAACAAAGAGGACACCCGATCCCTGAACGGGAAAGAGAAGTTGGAAAAGAAATCCCCATCGCCCGTGAAAAAGTCACTGGAACCCAAGAAAGTGGCCAGTCCCGGGTGGACGTGTTGGGAGTGTGACCGGTTGTTCACACAGAGAGATGTTTACATTTCCCACGTGAGGAAGGAGCACGGGAAGGTAAGTGACCCCTGAAAACCTCCCCGTGGAAGGTGGAAGAAAGATATTCCAAGCCGCGGGTGCTTGCTTGGTTCTGCTGGGAATTAGGAAAGTAGCCTCGAGAATCACTCAGTGGTCTCTGAGCCTCAGTTTCTTAGTCTATAAAATGGGCTTTCCCAGTCCTTCCAATCTCCTTCTGTGATTTTGCTGAGGACCCCAAGGCCAGCAGGGAGTTATCTACAGCACTTGTGTTTATAGCCGCAGAAACTGAGAACCGTGATGAACCAAACTGACAAAAGCATTTGCATTTCCTGGTGAGTTCTGCAGCAGATAAAGGAAGAAGGAGAGAAAGAACGTGGGTGTTTTGAAAATGTTCAGTAACATTTGTGTGACTTTTGTGATTCTCTCCTGAATTTGGTGGTGGAAGAGAGACCTCATCTTTAAACCATCTAGGAGAAGCTCTGGTAACTCAAAAATCTCCAAAAAATCTCAGTGTGTGTATTTTTTTCTTTTTAAAATAGTTAAGTTCTCATCTCTTCACTGATAAGGATTTTTTAAATGCCCATTACTAGGCTTCATATAAGCAACCAAGATTATTCTTGTCTGGTTGTCTCAAAGTTGTTTGTTCCAGTTAGGATCTAGAGAGTCGGCTTGGCGTTTGGTTGTTGCGTTACTTAAACCTCTGTTACTCTCTCTCAATCCTCCTTCCATTGTATTTTATTGTTTAATGTTGATTTGTTGGGAAAGTTGGGTTATGTGTCTTGTAGATTGTCCCCCCGCATTTCTGGATTCAGGTAGTTGCTTTCTTTTGACATTGTTTAATTTGTTTCTTTTTATCCTGTAATTCCTAGAAGTTGGATTAGATTCAGGGTGAATTTTTCAGATGGGAATACGTCATAGGTGCTGTATTTTTGTTTCACATCCTGAGGCACCTAATGCCTGCTCGTCCCACTTTCAGTTCAGATACACTGTACTTTTAAAGCAACCATCTTTTGCTTTAATTTAAGCCGATAAAGCCACAGTTATATTAAAAAGAAACACATAGTTATTCTTGGGGAACCTCTGTAAAAAGTGCATAAGAATTGTAATTAGTATATACCAGATCCTTCAAGTTTGTTTGTATAGCATTTACAAATTACAAAGTTAAAAGCATTACCTTGTAATCTCATCTATGCTGTTTGAGGTGCTCATGAAGCTGGCACGTTTGAACCTGAATTCACATTCACATAACCGTGCCCTTGAGCATTGATCACAGCAATCACAAATGGCAAAAAGATGTTTTGGTTTATTTGGTTTGACTACACTTGATGCAGTATCTCCTCATATAAAAACTGGTTACTTACGAAACATAAATGGCTTTGGTATCACATGGCTTACTTGTCTCAACCTTAGACACCCCTGATGGGCCATAGCATCTTAGAATATTCCTGGCATTTACCTGGGTAATTCTTATGGAGCAGTACTTGATAAAGCAATTATATAAATGCACAAACGGTAGCTCTTTCAGAGCCCGATGTGGTGAAAAGTATAAGAAAAGTCTTCTTGGCACCCGAGCTGGGTTTAATAAACGTTAAAAGAAGAGCAGACTGTAATTATCCAGTAGTCCAAACCCTTCATTTCTTACACGTTGGGGGTTTCTGTACACAACTTGGAACATTTCAGAATTCTTTTTTTCCTAAACTATCTTCACATGTGACAGTTATTCTGTCTAGAATGTAAGATGAAGAGAAGGCTCAGAGAAAGCTGTCGGGATGAGGAGGTAGCCTGGGAGCCTTCGCTGTGGGACCACCGCCCCTCACAGAGGGGATGTTTGGCTTCGCAAGGTTTCAGGGTTCGCTTTGAAGATGCGGGGACCCCACTTTTTGTCCACACCCCACCTGCAGGCTTCCTTGCGAATGTTCCCAGTCTTTCCTCTCCCCACTGCCCCCCAACTTCAAGTCTCCCACACCCCCTGTCTCCCTCCTGCCTTCAGAGAGCCCCGTAGGTGCCCGCCCTCCACACGCCCTTGCTCTCAGCTGGGTCCCCCAGACCCGCCTCACTGGGGCTCCCACTGGAGCAGGTGTTCACCCCTCCGTCTTCACCTCCCCGAGCCACGCCGGTATCTGTCGAGATCGGCGCTTCTTCCTGGAAAGCACTCTCTGCCCTAAGCGTGCAACGAGACGCTCGCCTCAGTGTTCTGGCAAGCAGGAGAAAACATTTCTCTCCTGGATTTCTGTCCTGGACACATTTAACTCTCTCTCTGGGAAGTTTCAGTTACCCTCACAGCTTCACTTCATACATACATATATATGTATGTGTGTGTAACTTCCAAATTTCTGTCCACAGCTGCGGTTTCTGCCCCGCATTCCAGTCCCCCCGAAATTCAGCCGCTTGTCAAGTCTTTCACCTTCTTGTATAACTTACAGGAGCTTTAAGCCTGTTCAACAAGGAGCTTTAACTGTTCTCAAATAAAAAAAATCAGAAAGATGAGCTTGTGTCAGTATTATTCATCCAGCAGGCTCGGTCAAGGGGTGAGCCTTCTCCCAGATAAATGTACAAATACACAGAGTTTTATATACAGTTTGGGGGCTCATGTACCACCAGACATGCTTTCTTGGTTGCTCTAGGAGTGTCCCAGGGACCTCAAATTAGTATCCCCTCAGTGAGATAGTATCTGAGGTCATTCTCACAGATCTCATGAATCTAGAATTTCAGGAACCTGATGGTAAATAAAAAAGTGAACGTTGTCTGCTCGGTCAGATCTGAGAATTGCTCTGTGATCATTGTAGCCATTTTCTCATGTGCTGCCCGGTGCCCCAGCCCATCAGGGATCATTGCTGAGCTTTCACTTGGAAAGGGGCCTAAGGCAGAGTTGCATTCACTGACCTGTGGAACTTAGATGCTGTCACAGCGGACCTTGTGAGACTTCCTGGGGCGCACTGGGGTTCTCGGGGGGTGTAGATGGTCCAGTTTTATGTCTAGAAATTAGGAGGAGCCTGGGGTTTCGGGGGCTGGCACGCTTGAGTGTGACTCCTTTCTCTGGCTTTTCTGAGCCTGGCCATTTCAGAGAACGGAGTTGAATAGCTTGGTTCTGAACCCCAGGAATGAGAACGTGATGGCTCCTAACAGCAGGTGGCCCTAGGTAAATCTTAATTTTCTTTTGTTTGCAGGGTACTTGGTGGTAGGTGGCTAGGTAACAGCACAGATGGAGACTCTCTCCGCCTCCATCCCAGGACTGTTCTATATAGGGTCGTGCAGAAGGGTCGAGATGGGACGTTGAATTTATCTCTGACTCAGGGTATCATTTCTCTCTGGAGAGAAAGCTGCCATTTCAGATCAGATTTTACCCAGCATTTCTACCAGTGACTTTTGACTGTAGGGAAAGAAGCTGGGAGGGAGTTTACAAGATAAAGCTTAATGAGTAAACACAGACTTTTCATCTAGGTTTTTAAAAAATCAAACACATGGATGTGATGTGGGGCAGATAGGGTTCAGTTATCTTACATGAAAAACATTCTAGCTTTGTCGCCTGTCTTAAGCCCACCTGTCCTTTTTGGCCGCAGAGACAATGTTCACATCAGGGAGGTGAATGCCCTTTGATGCGGCATTGTAATCGAGCTACTGGTTCTCAAAACTTGATTGTGCATCTGAATCCCCCTGGGGGAGGGCTTGTTAAAATACTCAGTTCTGGGCCCCAGGATCTCCCCAGTTTCTGATGCAGTAGGTCTGGGATGGAGTCCGATAAAATTTGCAATTCTCATAAGTCTACACTTTGAGAACCAATGGTGTGCCCTAGGTAGCAGTAAAAGTCCCTGGAGCCCATTGATTTATACAAAAGTAAAAGTTTATTTCTTGCCCAGTGTGAACAGTTCTCCGGGGCATCTGTCCCTCAGTGACTCAGTGATCAAAACAGTTTCTTTCATCCCCATCATCTCAGCATAGGCGCCCCTGCAGTAGGGGAGGGGAAGAAAAACACAAAACTGGAGAATCACATGCCCTTGTATTCTGGATGTGACATCCAACACATACCGTTGGCCAGAACAAGTCAGGTGGCCAGACCCTCGGGCAGCGTAGTCGTCACTGTGCCCGGGTGGGGAGTGGGGGACGGGTCCTGTTAACCACCCGGTGCCATCTCTGCGGCATCGCAAGTGGTGCACCGGGTTCCCACGGCGCTGACTGGAGGCGGTGAGTGATGCACCATCACTCAGGAAGGCACCCGGAAGGGTGAGGGTCTGGAAACAGTCTCAGGAGGAAAAGAGAAGTTGGAGTCTGAGGGAGCTTTAATAGCTGTTTTTAGATACCTGTGTCCTCCATAGGCGAACGATGAGTTACAGGGGAGCTGGGGCCCTACAGGTGAAATATGGACGCAGGTGACCACCCACAAGGGGATGGGAAGGATGCCCCTAGGACTCAGTCTGGGCCCAAGGGAAAGCGCCCGTGGTGATAAATGCAGTGGTGCCATAGCTCCCAGGAGGCAGGCGTGCATATGCCGTCAAGTCTAAAAATTTCTCAAACCAGCCATCCGCCTGCAAAAAGCATGTCTTCTCACCACTGATCCAGTTTGTAGGTTGAAACAGAACTTGCAGAGTCCTTGTGACCTCCAGTGGCGCCTAGTTTCTGGCAGAGTGGCCGCATGTTGGAATCGGCTGGAGAGTGAAAATCAGCACACATGTATCCGCAGGCCAGCTTTCCTGGACGCGACGCTGCGGATGGACCCAGCACACAGAGGCTCCAGGAGCTGTGGCGCACGGGCGTGGCTGCCCTGCAGTACGTGGAACCTTCCCAGACCAGTTATCGAGCCCGTGTCCCCTTCACTGGCAGGCAGAGTCCTGGCCACTGCGCTGCTGGGGAGGCCCTGGGATGTCTTATGTTTCTGTTTCCAGCGAGTTGGTCAATCCGTTAGGAAAAGCCTCCAGATCTTCTGCCTCCTTTTTTGGCCTCAGTGGCGGGTTCCCTGGAATACTTGGTAGCATCTTGTCTTTCCTGTTGTGAAATACGCTTCCGGCGTACTCTGAGATGTAGGTGGAGAGAAAGTGGCCGGA